CCATACCCACACTACCACCACAATCCCCCTCCCATCCAAAACCCCCTCCATCCAAAACCCCCCTCCATCCAAAACCAAAAAACAAGGGTTACACACACACACACACACACCGCTACAGCCTCATCTTTTCCCGCCCCGCAATTGGCTGCCTCCGGGCGGGATAGGAACGCGAGGGCCTGGGGTGGATTTTTTCGTGGGCACGGTAGGTGGATTGGATTGGATTGGATTGTGGACATGGGGAGAGGGGCATGTGCATGGGCATGGGCATGGGCATGGGCGCAAGTGGGTGAGCTGGTGGGAGCGAGATATGCGCTGCACGCGTTGGGCTCGGACGCGGTGCTGTGCGGTGTTGTGGTTGGGTGGTGTTGTTATTTTGTTGTTGGTACTGTGCCTGCTACTATACTGTACTGTAGTTGGTACTACTGACATTGTTGTTGTTGTTGTTGTTGTTGTTGACAATGGATGACTGGGGGGCTTGATTTTTTTTTCCGAGCTGGGATGAGGCTGTTGAGTGTGTGTGATGCGTTTGTGTGTGTGGGCTGGGAGGGCAACGTCACGATGCAGCGGAGGGGATCTGAGCTGGGGGTTTTTTTTGGTGGTCTGGGTTGTGGGTTCCGGTGAAGTGGGATGGGGGGTGTGGTGTTGTGTTGTGTTTTGTGGTATGCAGGGTAGGTTGGATGGAGGGGAGTGGTGTAGAGTGGTGTAGAGTAGAGTAGAGAAGAGAAGAGAAGGGCAGGGCAATGTGATGATCTGGGGTTGAGGTGAGGGATGATTGTGTGTTGATTTTACACTTGGATAGACTGGACAGGACGGGATTGTATGATGGAGGGAGATTTCCTGAGACAGTATTTGTGTGAATACAGTACAGTGCAGTCCAAAGTACAATTCATCTACCCTCCTCCTCAAACTTCAACCCTCAAAATCCAAAATCCAACTTCAACCTCAAACCCCCCTCCAAAACACCGCGTTGCATACACACGTACCAGACTCGGCGCCACCCCCCTCTTACGCTGAGAAACAGGCCTCACGAATCAGCAGCAAACAAGCCAGGTCCCCGAGCGCCCGCAGTGCGTGTCTCCATGTGGCTGTGTGAGATCGGCCCGCAGTGTGCAGGAGGAGTGCAGCAGTGTTGTGTTTAGAGGATTTAATTTTAGTGCTGGGCTATCTAGGGAGCGAGGGAGCCAGAGAGGGCTTGGGGAGGTTTTCATGGACGGGTTGGGTGGCTGGTTGCTTGTTCATACTGATATTATGGGAATTCCATGTCACGGCCGGTGGGCTTGGTTACTGTGTGAGACTGGCAGGCGCGCTTGACGACAGAGTTAGCATGACAGGTTTAGAGTCTTGGGGCTGGGCAAAGCAGGGTTGGAGACTTGAATAGGAATCATGGCAATGTGTAGAAACTCGAAGAGGGAGAGAGAGAGAGAGAGAGAGAGAGAGAGAGATGTGGGAATGACGCACAGGGCAGTCAGTCAAACTAGGTAGGATACAGTATGTAGTATGTACGGTAGGTATTGCTAGAGTAGGTAGTAGAGTAGGGCAAAGGGACTAGGGGCTGGGTAGTACGGCAGTGTCTGTAGTGTAGTCCGTCGTAAATCGCCTGTACCGTACCGTACCGTACCGTACCGTACCGACCAGCCGGCAAGGCGCATCATCGGATCTCAAACCGTGATCACAGAACGGGCAAGCACAGCTGGGTGGTGGCTGCAGTGTTTGCCGCACATGGTGACACAAAGCAAGGCCCCCCTTTCCTCCTCCCTCTTTCTCTCTACTACTCTACTACTACTACTCCTACTACTACTCCTACTACTACTAGGAGTACATACCTACTGCCGCCAGATGGGGATGCAACTACTTTTGGTGCCTTGGACCCATCCCCACTCAAGAAAAGATCAGAGTGAGCTTACAGAAAACAAAGAGGAAAAGCGTGACAGGAAGGGGTATAGTCACCGTCGACGACGACAAGACAGAAGAGCCAAAATAGACATGGGAAGGCAAGGAGTGGGTGCGTGTGTGCAAGTGCGCGCGCGAGGCGGTGGTGGGGGAGAGAGCGGTGAGATGACTCGTGCGCAGGCATGGCCATGTCCCAAGGGAGGCGGCCGAGGGAAAGTTGGACAGATGACACCATTATGGCATTATGGCGGACCAGAGGGGTCTGGCGCAGAGTGGGTTGACGGGCAAAAGTGGGCAGATTGGCGAGAGGAGGAGAGAGAGAGAGAGAGAGAGAGAGATGGTGAGTCTCAGAGTTGGGTGACTTGTGGGGGCAAGGTAGGCTTGTCGCGGGTAGTTTAGTTTTGGCTTGTGTGGAGAGAGAGAGGTTGTGTGTGTGTGTGTGTGGTGTGTGGACTGTGTTGCGTGGTGTTGAGGCAGGGCAAAAGTTGGGGGATGGACTGGATGGACTGGATGGATCGGAAAAAGGCGGGTACTTCCCATTTGCTCCCCCCTCCCCCTCCCCCTGTCCAGTGTCCGGATGGTGTTGCTCAGCAGATGTGCACCCATGATTGACTTGCTTCCCACTACCCTATGGTACACACACGCTACCCATGCCAGCCAGACTACTCTGTACACGCTGACCTACTACTATACTCTCCATGGCATGATGCGCGCCGTCCACTACCCAAAACATCATGGACAATTCCCATGACAAGGCACGACAAGCACGACAACAACAGCAGCAGCAGCAGCAGCAGCCACGGCAACAACAGTAATACCAACAACAACAACACGAACATGGACAAGGAGTGTGGATTGCTGCAAGAGTCAGGACCAGCGTCGCGGGAGAGCCCCTCTTGGTGCATGGCCGGCCTGCTCGTCTTTGCCTGTATCGACCAGAGTTTTCACCACGGAAGCGGGCAGACGGTGACGAATGAGGGTCATGACCGCGGCGGAATTCTGGCTGGCTCATGGGCCGGCCCGCGCAGGGCTAGAGTGGGTGTAGTACTTGGTTGTAGGTAGGTAGAGTCTACTACCGTACCGGCTATGTACAATAGAGTCACTGGGACTTGCCATCGATACGATTGAGAGACCATGGACTTGCCGTAGTCGTAGCTGGCCATGGACAAAGTAGTGGAAGCGGCACGGGAACCTACTGTACCGTACCGTACCGTACCGTACCGTACTCTACCTGGTCGACAGAGTAGGCAGGCACTCTCTCCATGTTCCATTGTCTACGACTGTATACCGGTACTCTGTATTCTGACTGTGCGTACTGTACCTGTACTGTAATGGTATACTATGCTTACTGGTACACAAACAGCCAACCAAGCTGGGCCCCTCTTTCCCTTCCATCCTCCCATTCCCTCCGCTCTCCTTCTCCCCGTTTCTTCGCTCCCTCCACTGTTCTGTAATGCTCACTACGTGAACCCAAACACCAATCTGA